GCGCCTTCACCATCCCCCATCTGTGCATTCCACCCCGTTCGCTCCCTCCCGCTTGGCGCCCATCCCACCCTCCGCCCTCGCCCTCCGCCCCTGCCCTGGCTGGCCTGGGTGGCAACTCCTCATCATCACGCGCCAAGTGGGAGGGAAGTGGACGGGGCCCTGAGCCGACCTAGCCCCAGACGGAACGGGGCGCCCAACACGTGCCCGGATTACTGTGCCTTCCCCGGGTGCAGCCTTTCGGTTCGTGAAGGGTCGGTGCGTGTCGTGACCCCCTGGAACACCCGTACCCCCGCACCATCTCCGTCGCTTGGTTCCATAACCTCTGCCACCACCGGGAGGCGGCCAGGGCTTCATAGACTCGGTCGAGAGACCCCAGATTGGCATCCATGCCTCTCTGGACAGGGTGGCCCGCCACAACGACCCCTGGAATTGCGACTCGCCGCTTTCCTCCCGCTGTGATTCTGTGTGAGCTCTGTCTCTTGATTTGCCAACAACATACCTAAAACCTTGTCCTCGCCATGAAAAGAATTTGGACTGAGCTCGCTCACGACACGAGGCTGAAGAGATTTTCTTCTTAACTCCGTTTCCCTTTTTAGTTGTGCTGACCTCCTTTCACTTTAAGCTCTCTCTCTCTCCTACCTATATGGCTAGTTCCAATTCACTCTGACACGCTAATCTTGAAAACGCGTCCAACGGAGCTCCGTGTTGCTCCCAGCGGAATCCCCCGCGCGTCCTGCGGCCATGGCCGATGATACTAGTATGAGAGGTCATCTGGCTACCGCGAGCGCGACTCAACTCGTCGACATCGTCCGATGATGGTGCCGCAAAGTCAGCCGTCGGAGGCTATCGTGGGGTCGAGCCGGCAGTAGCCGTGACATGTGGTTCCACCACCCCTCGCAGGCTTTGCCTCTGACCGCCACCGTTCCCAGGCTGCCTAATGGGATGGAAAGGAAGGCTGGGCGAGCGTATAGAAGCGTGCTCGACCTCGTCGTGGCAACCTGCACGGCAGCGCTGGTAGGCGCGATGAGCGTCGTGCCACCTGACCCAAGACGGGTCGCAGGCGTCGTACCGAGCGTGTCGAGACCGTGTCCTGATGTGATCTGCACGGGTGAGTCACGTCGGCGTCAAAGGAGCGACGTGCGACCTGTCAGAGCTTGATCTCCGATCTCAGCGGCGTCGAGTCGTCTCCGGCGCGCGACAAAGGTACATCCCCAGGACGCGCAGAGGCAGCTGCGACCCAGCGGAGTGGACGGTAACGCACCGCGCCACCTGCTGTGCGTTACCGTCCACTCGGCGGGGTCGCAGCTGCCTCTGGAAGGCACCGAGATGTACCTTTTTCGCGTAATGGTCAAAATCAAGGTTTTGTAACGCAACCTGGCTGTGTGGGTGTTTGGATTTCTTATGTTTGCGATTTGGACATGGGTCATGGCATTTACTCGCCTCGCAGATTACCCCGGCCAACGTGCAACGATATTTTCCTGCTTATTTCCGTCGAACCAGTTTACCCAGTCTCCCACAATTCATGTGTTTCAGCTTACCCCGGCCGCTAACGTTCATTACCGGTCGACCAAATTTCTCGTCCAGTTTACCCGGCGGCCGTCGAGTATTTGTCGTTGGTTCAACTTACCGGACGCAGACGGGCGGATCTATACCGGCGCATCCCACTGCCGGGTGATCTGGAAAAAGAAATTTGTTTTC